GAGGAAGAAAGAAAAAATAATCATAAAAAATAATTAAAAAAATCGAAAAAATTATTAAAAATTATCCACATCGGTGCAAGCGGTGCCACGTAGGCCGACCGACGTCCAAGTCAGCAAAATCCAGTCAAAATTAGCCATAAGGACTGAATTAGCACTAGTTCAAAAGGTTTAGGACTAAATTAGCACCAATACAAAAGGTTTAAGACTTTTCTGACACTTTTCCCCATGTACATTTGTTAGGCAAAGTCTCGCGTTAGAGAGATGGTTTGGTGGAGCATATTCTTAATAAGTATAGTTGACAACAATAATTAGTCCCCAAAAAAAAAAGTTAACAAAGAGAAGGACTTAAGTTATGTAACGTAGTGCGGAGCAGTTAATACATATTAACTGACCCATGAAGGAATGATGTAAGACAAATGGCTTCATAAATTATATCAATTGAAAATTTATCGCGATCGCTTCCATTCGTACCAATTTTATCGGTGTGAAATCATGCATTATCCTTTTTCAATACACCTAATTATTTCCCCATGTCAAGAAGATTCAACCAACCAATGGCTATCACACTAAAATGGACAATAATCAAAGTCCTCTTCTACTCGAGCTCTTTTCAATGTATTCAAACCACCCTCAATATCTCCTCACTCCCCCACCTCTCTTCCCAATCCACCCTTCTTCTGGTCCTTCAACTACAAGTGCAATCAAGATAACCGATCAAATCTGTCACGTACATGACAGATCCAATCTGGGTCGATCTTGTTCATATACTTGACTGGATCCCTCTCCAAATGATCGTTACTTTTTCAAAGTAAATATAGCTGTATATAGAGCATGATGGAAACACGATACTACTACATTCCAATCAAACGCGAGCGAACGCCTCTCCTCGTCTCCGAAAGGTTAGTAAAGAAAGATAGGGAGAAGGAAAGGAGAAAAGAAGACTCTTTTCGTAGATGCGCTATCTTTTGCTTCTCGATGAAGATCAACAAATGGACCCACCTGATATAATACAAAATAAAAGATCTTGTGAGTTGGAGATTTGGAAGTAGGGATTGGAGTCTCCGAAGATAATGTTAAAAATTAAAAGTTGTTCTTCTGCCCCCACATTATAAGATTGCTTTCATTTTCGGAAAATCATCTTTCAAGAAAATATTTTCCGCTTTTCAAGTTAGAAAACTTAGAAAATGTGTATTTGTTTTACCGTAAATGATCTTTCGTTGACCGATCATTTTCAGCAAATCAAAATGCATAAAAGTCTAAAAATCTAATTTGCGAAAAATTCTTTTGCTCGATTAAACACACCCTGGTCTTTGTTCTTTTTATAAGACCTAAAAGGTGCTTAGCACATGAAAGCCCTGCACCATCATGGGTATATAACTCGCCAGCTTTCTTGAAATAGGAGAACGGATGATCAGAGTCTCTCGAGATTAATATATACTTGCAACTTGAATTTAAAATTGGGTTTCTCACTCATGGTAGCTTTCGGATAATACCGTGAAAGGGCAGAACCATGTGGCTGAAATGATCATGTCTCAATCGAACTCAATTGACGAAATTTCTTTATACCAGAAGCGTTAATCACATGCTTAGTGCGGGCATAAATTACACTGGAACGGTCCAACTTTGCGTGCGGTTGATTGATTTAGCGAGGGCAATTAGTCAGTAGTTTGTGTCGGGCATCGTGTTACATAGTTTAACCTCGGATGATGGCAAAGGATCATTACTGACTGTTCAAGTTTAAAGGACAATGCTTTGACATAATTAACTCTAAGAAAACGAACAGGCAGTGCTTTAAGTTCAGATTATTTGTCGTATTTCAGTTCGTTTCCTTACCTTACAAATCACATGGTCGATCCAATGTCGCTTTAAATTCACTATTCTCCAAGTCCATTCCAAATGGCATGAAAGCATCTTTCTTGGCCTGAGAATTTTTCTTTTCCCTCGACTATAGTAGGCTTAAGAGGTGACTAGTTATAGTCCTCTCAAAAGCAACGCGAGCTTCAAAAGAAAATATTTCAAATTTGTTCCGAGTAACTTTTACTTTTAATTTCTCCTTTTTGCAAACTTTGTAGTCCACAGATTTTGACTTGCTACCACCCGCCTTGGTAGCGCTACTGGAGCGCGTACTCTTTCTCTCGCAAAAGGTTGAGTGTTCGAATCCCGGGTGCCGCAGGGTGACTTAACCGGTGCACGTGTGTGGTGGCTAGTACGTGTCACCCCCAGGGTTTACCTCTCGGCTATCGGCCGTGCGGGGGTTCCCTGAATCATAAAAAAAAAAAAAGTGTTACTTGCCCAAAGTAATATACTTTTCTTTGACCGAGGAAAAAAGTAATATTTTGGCCTTAACAAAGGAAAAGAGGAGTAGGGTATGTTTTTCCTCTTTTTTATAAGTTTGTCCATTCATATTTTGTTTACAGTTTCGATATTAATAGTGTTGAGAAGGTTTGCCATCGATATCCCTAAACCTTGCATAAGGGTTAGTGCAATGCAATAATTGTTGGAAAAAAGATTAGATAATATGAAAATAAAGAATTGATGGAAATATGGTGGACAAGATAAGAAAATAAGATCAACTGTTTGACCTGTGCAAGCACTGTCCTTAAGGATAATTTCGCCCTTCGAAGTACGAAACTCGGTGCGACAAGCTCTAACAGCTATCCTCCAAGATACAATAGACATTCTTCTTTACTACGCACAAAATAATAAAAGGAATAGAAACAATTAATTATGTGTGTAACCTAACAAGGAAATGAAAGAAATTTGGAATGATAGAGAAAAAAATTCTCTTTTAATTGAGTGTATTCCGAAGAATCGTGGTTTGAAGTTTTATTTTATATTCAAATGAAAGATAGAGCCGTTAAGAAACCATTGCAACTCAGTTGATAATTATTAAAATGATGATGATGATTATAAATCCGTTATAAAATAATTGAGGGTTTATGAAGAAATAAATAAAACCTTACAAGGTCATTGTAAAGTCGTTATAAGACCGTTACAAAGCCGTTGCAGAATGATGGCTTTCATGTCAATCATAACTTCTATCAAAATCGTTTTATTTTCAAAACTGTTGAAATGTCCAACAAAAGTAACAACAAGAGTGTGATAAAGTATTTAGGCTGTAAAAAGGAGGAGCCGACAATTCTGGGGAACTCAAATGCTATGTGGCGGGCAAAGCGAGTCGGGTGCTTATTGTGGAGAGTTACTCAATTATCCTATGCCGAAACTCTAAAACACAAAGATGCTAAAGTCTATCGAAGAGCCGAAGTGCACAGATCCCCTAAAATTAGTGAAATGATGGGGTAATTAGAGCGAGAAGACTAAGAGGATTGGCTAATAGGATCACTCCATGTGGCAATTATGGTGGAAAGAATCATTGTGAATAGGTTGCCACATGTTAGAGGGACATCAATAATGACTCGCCACGAGTTAGAAGGACACCAATTGATACTAAGTCCACTAGAAAGGATTAGGAAATAAGTCAGGTCATTCCTGACAAGTCTTGCTTCGAGCCCATCAAGCCAAAAATCTCTAAAACATCATCAACAAGATAAATATAACCCAAGACCTTGCTAGCCTTCTCTTGAGCCATGCTCACATGAAGCAAACCTGCCATAAATCCCCCACAAGGGCCTTTTGTAAATAAAGTCACGGAATTATAATTAGAACAATATATCTATTTTGCATAAACATATAAGGATGGAGTTGCACATCAACATATAATAGTTTTGATTTTTTTTAATATTTCAAAAAATGGGAAGGATATCGAACGTGTTCTCTAATAAAGTTGCGAGAGATTACCTTCTTCTCCTACTTCGAAGTTTCGAAATCTTACTTAGCTCCTCGTTTTCCTTAAATCAATGACCGGGTCGCATGAACCGTGTATTTCGTTCGTCGATCTTGTTTTCCATTTGATTCTAGTTGCCGGTGAGACATTTATTAAACATTAAATTATCATTTCGAAAGCACTACTTTTCCTTTCCATTACATATAATTTATCGAAATATTTAAATATTGAATTACGCATCATTTTAACAATCTGATCAGTACGTTAAAAAGTTACAATTTTTTTTGTTGGGCAAAGTAATTAACAAGCGTCCAATCGAGTCCTCTACAATCGAGTACCATGGCTCTACGTTTTGGGGTCACGTCAAGTCAAATCGACAACATCTCTCCCTCTCTCTCTCTCTCTCTATCTCTTTACCTTTCCCAAGCTCCCAAGAGGCAAAATCCCCCTCGCCAATCCCACCCTCCCCTCGCACGTGCCCGTCGCACGGGGGTCGCGAGCCAGCCAATCCCCACCGTCCACGTCACCCCACCGCCCGTGGGCTACCCCTGCCCGAATAAACCCCAGGTGCCCGCCCGGATATGCTCGCCCGCTCCATTTCGGATCCTACCCGCATATTCCCCCTCCCCGCCGGGTCCTACGCCCCCCTCCACCTTCCACCTTCCACCTTCCGTGCGTACAAAAGAAAAAATAACGTTTGAGTCCATCAATGCACAATTGACCCGCCCCACCACCACGAACATGACGACATCGTAAGATATAATGTGGCCATCCGTAAATTTTTCCATATCGCTTTACACGTCGCGTCACGTCGGTCTCAGTAACTCCGCGCGAAAAACGACCGGCACGACCTGATCGATATCCCGCAACGTTGTTTTCTGGCCTAACATTTGACGATCGATGCGATCTTCACGGGAAATTTTCGAGGTCTCTATCTCGTGAACCAAAATTAACTCTCGGGTAGCCCGATCGGAGCTTTAGAGCTAAGATTTACTGAGATTGAATGATAGGCCCCCAAAAAAGGGAAAATTTGATGTCCTAAGAAGCTCAAAAGCCACGGGGTCTTGGAAGTCTTGAACCGCACTTCCACCCGAATATTCCTCCACAAATCCTCCATTAAAACCATTTCCTTAATCCCCCACCTGCCGCTCCTCCTATATAATCCCTCCTCCCTCGCTCCGTCGCTCCTCCACGGACGGCTCGATAAAGGCGGCGACGGCGACGGCGGCGGCGGCGGCGACGACGGCGACCATCAATACTTCGCGCTCCAAAATCAATCTGAAAGTGAGCGGAACAGGGGCTGTGAGTTGCTGCAATGGCGGGTTTCGTTAGAGCGAAGCGCGGCAGTGACCTGCTCGACGACCGGGCCAGGGCTCGGCTCGTCGGCGCCGATGTCCGCCGCCTCAGCTCCGACACCAGCGGGAGCGAGCACGACGGCGAGGACGACTCCCCTTGCCTCTCCGAGCTCGTCCACGGCTTCCTCGAAGTCGAGGCGGACGACGACCCCGCCGCGAGCCGGTCCCCCGCGGACTGCGGCTCCGACTCCGACGGGGCCGACTCGCCCGCCGGCTGGGCGGACGCGATCGAGGGCGTCCTCGAGGAGGCCCTCGCCGGCAATGCGGATTCGTACCGGAGCCTTCTCCTGCGTCACGTCTCGAGAGCGATCGAGGTGTTCGCGTGCCTGTGGTCGAACAAGCCCGCGCTGAGGCGCAACGTGATGTCGTACCTGAGGGAGATCGGGTACAATGCGGCCATCTGCAAGACGAAGTGGGACGCCTCCGGCGGCCTCACCGCCGGGAACTACGAGTTCATCGACGTGGTCCGATCGGAGCCCTCCGAGGGGAGCAGCCAGCTGAACCGGTACTTCGTCGACGTCGACTTCGACGGCCACTTCGCGATCGCGCGGCCGGCGCCGGAGTACACGCGGCTGCTGCAGCGAGTCCCGAGGGCTTTCGTCGGCGGAATCGAGGATCTGAAGAGGGTCGTGAAGGCGATGTGCGACGCGGCGAGGCGGTCGCTCAAGAGCAGGGGCCTCTCTCTGCCCCCGTGGAGGAAGAACCGCTACATGCAGAACAAGTGGCTGGCGCCGTACCGTCGGACGACGAACCCGTCGCCGGCGGGCGCCTTCGCTCCGGGGGCGGCGGCAAACTCCGCTGGCGCCGCCGTGAAGTGCCGATCGGTCGGGTTCGACCAATCCATGAGCGGCCGTCTGTTTGTACGCACGAGATAAACGAATAAAAAAGAAATTCTATTTTGTGGATATTTTTTTTTTGTAAAAACTTTTTCGGTGTCGTGTAAAAGAAATGGCGTTGTTAATTGAACTGTACGCGGCAAACGCACATCGGATAGGTGGCGGCGAAACAGTAGTGCTGTTGAATCACGAGGGCACTAAGGGTGAGCAAAAAATCCGGAACCGCTCGGAACCGAACCGAACCGAACCGAACCGGTTCCTAAGGAAATCGGTCTGGTTCCCAATTTCGATTTTTGGAAATCGGTGAATACCGATCTGGTTCCCGATTTTAGGTGTGGAGCCGACTACCTGTCCATTAGGATCGGACCGAACCGGCAATATAATAGTAAATATAATACATTTATTTAATTTTTATTTAAAAAAATCTTAAATCTCTAAATTAAACTTAACTCGCTCGATGCAGATAGCCTCACATTGAGCCAGGAAAAATCTTCTTTCGCTTTCGCTTCGTGCTCACTTTCACTCTCTCACTCTTTTTGGTCGATGCTCACCTCACCGTCTCCGTCTCCATATTTCCGTCTTCGTCCTTGGCTAGTGGGATTGGTTCCATGGATCCACCCGAGAACCGGACCGGACAAGCGGTCCGGTTCCCGTGTGAATCCATGAAATCAATGGGCAGTTCCCGATTCCAATTTTTTAGAACCAGTCCTTAGTGGGCGGTTTCTGATTCTAGGGTGGGAATCGCCCACTCTGACCATGCTGCGCCCTTAGTGTGCACAGGCATATTCCAACTTCACTTGGACGCTTCCTCTATGGGCAATCTGAACCGTCCGATGCGCGAAGTCATCAGGTTCAGTAAATCGGACGGTCAAAGCCTTGTAGGTCGTGTCGAGATGTGATTTGAAAGGGGGACTGGGATGTGGATAGGGATGACGTGGACAGGGTCGATGTGACATGATGAGTAGACCGATCGAAATGAGTTATAAGTCCGTTCCTTATCTCATATTTGATGAATTGAGTTATCGTATACGTTAATTATACTTATGAAATGTGTCATAAGTCCACGACTCTTTTTTCACTTTTACTCGCTCTCGCTCGATTTTGCCCTCACTCTCAACTCAGTTTATATATGAGTTTTTCTAAATTTGGATAAATATGGAGGTATTTTAGCAAATGGGTCGGGTCGGGTCCGGCATTAGTCAGGTACGAATATGAGTAACTAAATTTGTATTGCGTGGAAATTGATTAAATGGATCAATTTGGATCAGATCATTTTCGATCCCGACTTGACCCACCTTTTTTGACAGGTCTGGTGATGGGGGTGGATTTGTACGTACTTGTCTTTAGTAAGTATACCAAGAGTTAGGAGTGTCAGAACCAAATCGAAAAATCAAATCGAGATACGAACCGAACAGAAAATTTTGTACATTTCGATTCGGTTCAGTTTTCAGTTCGGATTATCTAAATTAACTAACCTTTTTTTTTTTCAATTCGATTTATTTCGGTTCAGTTCGCATCGAACTGAACTGAAAATAAACCCCTCGTTGCCTTCTGTTTTTACCCTAAGTAAAAGGCTTTTAGGGCTCCCGCATCTGCTCCATGCGATTGGGTGGGTTCTTGTCGTTTCGTGCTCAAGAAGATTGGGCTGACAAAGTTGGTCTTGCAGAGTTGTTTTCTGGGTAGAGCAGGTGACAGACAAGATAATTTTGGTTTTGATGATGGGTTCATTTTCATGTTCACTGATAAAGAATGATCTGACATCGAAAACCGAACCGAACCGAACCAAGCCGAACCAAACCGGTATTTCGGTTCGGTTCGGTTCGGTTCCATAGTGCACCCATAACAGTTCGGTTTTTCTTGAAAAATCGAATCGAATCGAACCATTTACACCCCTACCAAGAATGACAATGAGTGGGGTGCGGTGACAGGCATGTGTAGATAGAACTCATGCGTGATGATTGACACTCAAATAATATTAATTTTTGGCCTCGACTTGCACTTGATATAAGTACATGTGTGATATTTTTTCTAGGCCTCATTTTCATCTGAAGTCTGATCCTTATCTGAGAAACTTTCGATTAAATTGCATTATAGATATGCTCCCGTTTATTTATAGTAAAGTTCATATTGGAGATGTATGCGCATATTTTTTATTCATATGTATAGTTAAATTTGCATTTACGGTTGTACATGTTCACGACGCATAAATTAGTAATTTGGACAAAGAAAAAAGTGACCCGAGATATATTTGTTTAGATTTGTATATCAATCGTTACGGATTTTACTATATTACTTTATATTGTGTTATTTGTAGTTTATACTTTACTAATGTATACAATGTTAATTATGTTTAGTAAGTATTTTGAAAGCACTTGGACCAAGGAGGCCAGTAATGACTGCTACCCTCCCTCCAAATCACTAGCCCGTAATCCAAATTTTATAAACCTTGTTTGAACTTCGAAATTTCTCTTTATCGCCCTTTTGCAAAAATTCCTTTTTAACTTATCCAAATCCGAACTAAAAATTCTGCATATTTCACGGTACTCATTAATAAGACCGTCCCGCAACGTGGGGGCAGCGACAATCAATGGCAACTCTACAGTGGACTCTAGTCCGTAGCGGCCATCACGGTGGTGGTCGCCTTTATCGCGGTGGTTACTTGACAGCATCGTTATAAATCCAACATAGTCATCACGAGAGAAGAGAGCGCATTGTGATGGCGACACCACAGTTCCTAGATCTAAAATTTTCTTTCTCTATCTCTCTACACCTCTGTGCGGCTCCTCTTGCAATTTTCATTGTTTCGATGTTTCAATTTTTAACCTATTATGGCGACACAATTATTTGTAGGTTATAATTACAAATATCGTCCCATCTGTAAATTACTTTAATTAAATAATAATTTGGGCAATGTTTGTGCGCTTTGAAATGATGGGGATACAAACGAGCACAGAGAATCAAAAGAAAGCATTTGGATAAGGCTATTTTGGCACAGGTTGCTGTCGATGTGCTGGATCGAGCAGACAAGGAAGAAGAAGCAGATAAGGCTGAACTACTCTTTTCTTTCTTTCTTTCTTTCTTTCTTTAAAGTCTTTGGGCCAAAAGGGGGTCGCTTTCGTTGGGCAAAGACACCCAAGAGACAAGTGTCCCAATCGGGTGGGTAAGAGGCAAAACCTGGTCCCCACCAGGTTAGGGAAGGGTTAGAGGTGGCGCCCCTCTGAGTTTTTAGTTCACAAAAAGAGGTAATTTCCCTCGTTATTTTGGGTCCGGAACAGGCATGGGTCGTGGCAGGGTCTAGATTAAGATTCACTCCGGACTTTAGCATATCCTTCAAAGGTCATGCCCGGACCACGGGATGTAAAAATAAGATTGGGCATTGCCGAGAGTCTCGGGGCAAGCAGCGTGGGGAGTTGGAGCGTGCGGGCACCGGCTCGTTAAAATAAGGAACGCATTGGCGGGGCCCGCCTGGTTGCGGATCGTTTCCCTCGTTCTTTTGTGCCGAGATATAAGCACGGGTCGTGGAAGGGTCTAGAATAAGATTCTCTTGAATGTGCACCACATGCCACTCGTTTGAGAACACATCATACACACGTGTGTCCTGCGATATATCTACGCCCATGATTTTCTGACCACCTTGCGTGGAAAAATCGGCTCGGAGTGTTTGGGTGTTTGGAAAAAAAAATGTTGTGGTTGGTGGATAGAGCCAGTGTTAGGAATTTGGGGGATTGGTTGGGCACCAAAAGTGGATAGAATGACCAAACCTCGAAGTGCCCGCACCGAATGTTGGCTAGCGTTCGCAAGAACTCAGGTTACGTGGATCAGGCACACGGCACGTGATTCTCCACGCCGTCAAGTGCTGGCATGTTTAGAATACTTTACCTAATTTTGGCTCCTAGTTCACTTCGGTTATGAAATCATTTGATCTTGATGACCCTCGATTTTACCTATCGAAGTTAGGCTCTGTAGCCGTTGACGAGCAAAACTAGTAAAATCCCATCACGTGAAGTAAAAGAAACCCTATGATTGAGTGAAAGGCTTACGAGGAGAAAGAAATTCAAAATCTCCGCCTCCGACATCACATTAAGGTATTTTAACCTTTTACTCAACAAAGTTCACGTTGCTAAAGTTTGGTAAGGGTTGTTATCTTATAGAGAGAAAACATCATCGACTTTTTGCTTTGTCACAATTTCCATCCTCTATTTTTCAAAATCAACGACCGGCATCATCCAATGTTTTGTTGTTGCACTTTGCACTATGTTTGGACTTCAAGATGTGAAATGCGTGTTTTTGAAATCTTAGGGTATAAATGTATAAATGTGAAATGCGTGTTTTGTAATGTATAGGTGATAAAAAAAACCCATTTGAGATAGAGCGACAATTCTACTATTCATCCATGTGCTTTCGTGCCAATAGGCATGCAGCCCTGTTGGTAAATGGATTGGGGGGTGGAGACGCTAGTATCACAAATGCAGGGTTCGACTCCCACGCTCTACCAGAGGCAGAGCAAAAAGTCAGAGAATGAAGAGATTTAGAGATATAACAAACAAAAAAAAAGAAATCCATGTACTTTCGCATTCTTTCTAATTTAGCTCTTGTACTTTTAATTTGTCTAATTAAGTCATTACACATAAATTTCTAAATCAAATCACTCTAACACCAAATCCCATTAAATTCGATTGACAAGGCCGCTGAATGACGCCGTGGTGTGACACGGACAAAGTTTTTCCAATGTAGACATCCATGTGGGTGTTCGCATTGGTTAAATTTCATCTCTATCATGCTTTGGCGTTGTTTATGATGTCTAAATTTTTCTGCACACGTCGCCCCCTCGTCATCCGCATATTTTACTCGCATCATATTTTGGCGTCGTTTAGTGTCGCACTAGTTGAATTTGATCGAATTTAGTCTCGGAGACACTCGATTGAAAAGAAACGTGCGTAAGTAGAATGATTAAATTAGGTAAACCAAACGTACACGGACCTTATTTGGAAAAGCATGAAAGTACGTGGGCGAAAAGTAGGATCTAACGTCTTCCAACGGTGGGACGAGCGCGACGGAGCGGAATGTAA